AACATTTAGGTCCGCGTTCATATGTGTTTGTGTAAGTTGTCCTGACTCACACATATTTAAGAATGACTTAGGATTTTTTTTTCAATCTGATATATGCATAAGGAGTCAAAGGAAGCTGCCTGTGGGTTGCAATATGTTGTCCAGTGTCTTGTACGGTTTGCCTGGCGTTTGCTAACGAGAATGGATCACCCTCAAATGTTTTCTGGAAGGATACTTTAAAAGAATTGAACGTTTCTCTGAAACTTAGAAAAAGTGAGGCCACTTCTTCTTTAGTCTATGGAGACTAAAATGTCAGCTCTAAGTGGATATTAATTGGTGTTTCAATAGGAAAATATTTGGATATGAAAAGTGTGTTTTGCTTCATAAATGAGAAATAATAAAGATATGGCTTGGGACAGTGGGAAACTTCACAAAAGGCCCTTTTGGAAGAAGGGATCAATGGAACTCTCTTTTAACTTTGTTAGATTGAAAGGCTAGGCTTGGCAAGCTGAGCCCATGGATAAGGTCAAACACAGAAATAAGTTTTTAAAGAGGAAATATGTTGGAGTTCTGGCCATTCTGAAATGCCTAATATTATTTTTGGCCCCAGTTTCCTACAGAATGAATTTAAGATTTGCACAGAGAAAATACCCAATAAATTTTTTTTTTAGAGAGAGAGAGAGAGAGAGAGAGAGAGAGAATTTTTTTTAATATTTATTTTTTAGTTTTCGATGGACACAACATCTTTATTTTATTTTTATGTGGTGCTGAGGATCGAACACAGTGCCCTGCGCATGCCAGGTGAGTGTGCTAAAACTCTTGAGCCACATCCCCAGCCCTAGTAAATATTTTTTCATCGAATTGCAGCCCCCAGAATTCCTTAAGATGTGGCTTCTCGTGCTTTTGTATACTTAGAACTCTACTCCAGTTGGATCACGAGTGGCTTGTGCTGCTTCCCCTTGCTCCAGATAGTCACAGGATCATGACCATGATTGTAAAGGGAAAAAAGTGAGACCATAATCTAGTTAAATAATTTTCACTTCCTTTATACAAAAAAAAAATTAAACCCTAAAGAATTTCTTGGCTCATAAAGATGGGCTCATGATCCAGGTCTTGAGCCAATCCTTAAACCAGTCTGCCTTTCCCTATAGTAGTTCATCCTTTGGTCATATAGCAGCTCTAAATACATTCCTGCATTGTCCCCCGCCCCCACACACACACCCTTGGGATTCTAAAGACTATCTACCTTCAAACCACCATCTGTGTACTGAGTTTCATTCTTAAGACTATCTCCCTTCAAACCAATTTCTCTGTACTGAGTTCCCTCTATTCTCATGCATTTCAGATGCCCAAACATTAACACTACCCTCTCCAACCATGCCCACTTTGCTGAGTAAGAATGTGATATCCAGGTTCTTGCCCCTGTATAACCTCTCCACCTTTCTTACAAAGGAATTGGCCAATGCCACCTTGAAAGGAGCTTTTTAAAGCTTTTCAAATGGGTTGCCTCCCACTGTGAATCTTGCCAAGAACTGAATTCATGTGACAGTGAACACTTGGGATCCAGAGAGGTCTGTAAAATGTTATTTCCCCTCTATCAATTTTTTCTCTTAATCTTCATTTCCTTCAGCTTGTTCCAACTCAGCATCTCTGCTCCTTCCCATGCCTGGAAGAGTTTGTCCTCATGGGCCAGGCAATAGAACTCTTAGCGGGTAAAGTCTGGGAGAAGCAACCAGGAAAGGGAGTGTGTGATGAACCATTCTGTATCATGGGAAGGACACCATCATCACTTGGTACATGAGTCCTGACCAAGGATTTTACTGACCTGTTGGCAAAACAAGATTAGGTTAGAAACTAGTGTGGCCTGGGGATGAGTTGCTTTTTTAAGTTCCGGGGGAACTTTAAAGACACATTAGCTCTAGATAGGAAGAAACTGGGGGTAGGGGCGGAGAAGGTGGCACTATAGGTAACAGGAAGAGCAGTGGAAACTGTATGGAGGTTAACAGGCAGAAGACCAAAAGTGTATCCTGTTAAAAGAATCAAAGTGAGAGGAAGGGAAACTTGGGAGATTCTGAATTTTCAAGGATATTAAAATGCGGACTCGTAGCCCTGGAAGTGGAGCTGCCGGTGGTACACTCTACACTGCTCTAATTCCTTGCACTGTTGGGAGCCGCTTTCTTAATACACTTTTGTCCACAGAGGGTTTTGATCTAAAAAAAAAAAAGTTTTTTATTTTAAATAAAAGATCACTTCTTGGGCTGGGGTTGTGGCTCAGCGGAAGAGCACTTGCGTAGCATTTGCACATAATAATAAATAAATAAAACAAAGGCACTAAAAATAATAATTAAAAAAAGGTCACTTCTTGATCTCATTTTACACTACACATGGGCCCCCTTTCACAAGATGTTCCATTCCCCCTTTCTAAGGAAAAGAGCTAACTTTGGCTAGGTGCAGTGGTACATACCTGTAATCCCAGAGACTCAGAAAGCTGAAGCAGGAAGATTGTGAGTTTGAGACCAGCCTCAGCAAAATTTTGTGAGACCCTGTCTCAAAATAAAATAAAAAAAATAAGGCTAGGAATGTAACTCTCAGAGTGCCTCTGGAATAAATCCCTAGTGCCACAAAAGAAAAAGAATAAAAAACCCTAAATTTAAATTAAGGCAGAGGAGACTCCTGTCTCCCCTCCCCCATTTGAGACAATGACTTCTGTGTCACTTGTCCCAGACCAGCCAGCCCTTTGCACCAATCTTAGGTGCTAACCAAACATATATAAATGTATTATTGCAACAAAAAGCTTGTTCTGAAAAATGTTAACCAATGCTCCTATTGGGGCCACAGAAAACCAAATTCCAAGCCAATAAAGATAACTGGGAAAGAATGCCTTTTGGAATCATAGCAACATCACTGCGTGGTGAGCAGGAGGCGCAGCATTTATGGAAAGGATATTGAAAATTACACACGTTCCACTTAAGTTTAATATCTGTTGGGCTTCACTCTCCCCTTCAAGCAGAGGGGAGGTTCTGTTCCTAGCTTTCCTAAAGTGTCACGGCTCCCCAACCCAAAGGGAAAATTTTTCCAGTCTCCTGACTAGGTGGAGGGAGGTGACTGCCTCAGCTCCAGGCAGGTGGCCAAGATATGCTGGCACTGTTCCCACCCCTTGAGGTGGGCAGTGAAGGTCCACAGAAGCAAGCCCCCTCTTGCAGGGGGCTGGAGGCAGAAGACGGTACCCATATCCAGTGACTGTACCCATAGCCATCTAGATATCAGAGTGTGTTTTAGCAGAAGTCTTAAAGGAAACTCAAATCATTGGCATTGGCATTGACATGGAGAGAGCTCCAGATTCCCCATATCCCAGAGGGCTTTGATATCAATATTTGATGACTGTTAGAGAATTTGAGGTCCCAGGAGGACTCTGGTTAATTTTATACTTTCATTTACCTAGAGTAAGTTTTCCCACAGGCTTCCCATTTTGTGTGTTTTCTTAGTCCATGTTCTGTTGCTGTAACAAAACACCAGAGTGGGTGAATTACAAACAATAGAAGTTTATTCTTCTCAGGGTTCTGGAGGCTGGGAAATTCAAAATCAGGAAGACATATGTAGTAAAGGACTTCTTCCTGAAGCATGACATGGCAAAATGTGTCTTATGGCAAAAGATTGTCTTGTGGTGGGGAAGCACGAGAGTACAGGAGCATGAAAGTGAGGAAGAGAGGATAGTAGGGGACAGAACTCATCTTTTCATCAGGAGCCCATTCCTATGATAACCCACTCCAGAGATAAAATTAATCCATTCATGAGGGGAGATCCCTCATGGCCCATCCACTTCTAAAAGGTCCCACCTCTTAATACTGTCATAATGACAAACTTCAACCTGAGTCTTAGAGAGGACATTCAAATCACAGCATTCTAATATTTTCAACAGTCTTCCCAAGTGACTGACATACTCGAAAATTGGCAAAAGCCTGTCCAAAGTCATTCGATGTCCCTATATTGCAGGAATGAGCTCAGGGGAGAGTGGACCCAGCAGAAACCTCCCATTCTAATTCACTCAGAACTGAACTCTGAGCACCTGTTGGGAGCTGGGTGGGTACCAGGCACTGGGGGTACAGATGTAAAGATGCAGGCTCTCTGCTCAAAGAACCATGGGGTGTGGGAAGCAACTCTCCTCTGAGTGTATGTGGGGTGTGCCCTTCTCTGATAGAAGGGGCCAGGCTCAGGCAAGACGCCCTCATCTCTGCCTGTCATTAAAACAGACATGATTCAGACGTTAGAACAATCTGTCTAATCCAGACTGATTCTGGATCAGTCCCACAATCACCTCATTTAGGGAAGGGCTCCTGGTTTGCAAGCTCAGAAGTGACACAAGCCAACGTAATGATCATCTTCCGACCCCACCAGAAGCAAGACAAGGCTTCCACTTCCACCTCCCCATAAAGTAACAGGTAACGTTTTGCTTTTCTGGGAGATCTGTGTGTTCTCTTCTTTTCCTTCTTTTTGAGGTATAGTATATCTAAGGAAAGGCTCATGAATCTAGAGTGGATCCTTATTGGATGTGTGTGTGTGTGTGTGTGTGTGTGTGTGTGTGTACACCAGTGCAACCCTACCCAGATCAAAGGGGCCATTCTTAAGTTTGCAAAGATCTCACAGGGTAGGACATGCACCCATTCAGCTTTGAACAGACTGTGAGACACAGTATCTCAAGGTCTCACTGTTGTCCTTGACAATGGAGATGAACAAATGGCTAGTGAGTACCTGCAGTGTGCTAGAACCTTCATGGGGTAAGCTCCATCGCCTCTCACCTGGAAATCCAACCTAGGTGGCTTGTGATTTTGGGGAGCCGAGCATCAGTAACATATTTTGTGTCACCTTAATTTATTTTTTGTCTGTTATCGATTATGTTATAATACTTGGGGACTTTTACTTGAGAGATACCTCTTTCTGACAATCTGCCTTCCCTTTGTCCTTGATGTTGTATCATTATTATTGCGGGTAAAAAGAAGCATAATATTATGTTACAGCTTATAATGGCGACCTCTGGAGAAGGCAGCCAGCCCAGTGGCACAGCAACACCCAGGCCACTGGCACAGCTGCAGGAGCTCGAACCTCGGGTAGCCCGCAGACGCCTGTCCCAGGCCCGCCATAGGGCCACCCTGGCAGGGCTCTTCACCAACCTAAGGAAGACTGTTTACTCCCAGTCTGAGCTCACAGCCTCGAAGGTACGGGGACCTCAGTGTGGGGCCTGGCCCTGCCACCCTTGCTGCACAAGGCTGAGGGCTGGGCCTCCGTGTGGTCGGTGATCATTGGTGGATGCCTCGGGGGGGGGCTATACCTGCTGTGAGAGATGGGCCTTTTCTACCTGCAGCAGACCAGACTGGCATAAGTAAAGCAATTATGGGCCTGAGGAGGGGCCTAGTTTGCCAGCCGCTTCTGTGCCTGTCCACTCAACAGGCAGTGGCCTTTAGCACACACTCAGGCACCCTGTACATCTACCCAAACACACACACCTGTGTGTACACACGACACCACACACACGTGCACACACCATAGACATACACGCATGTATGCATCATACCATTAGCTCACACATACACATGGTCACATGCCACACATGCTGCACACCCCCAGTTTATATACATAATCCAGGTCTTTCCCCCAGGCAACAGGGCTCTCCAGGTAAGTATTTATCTTTTCCTGTTCTTAATTGTGCTTTTGTCCTCAAACAGCTTTTTAATTGCTAACTAGCAATCAATAAATCAATTCTCTAGCAGAGCATGGAGGTCCAAGTATATTGGGGTGATGGAAGGAATGGAGTAGTCATAATGGTGGAAGCATTATAGAAGGTCATAGTGGAGGAGTCCCCCACGAGGTGCAGTTCCCCACCCCCTTTTAGTAAAGGAGAAATCCTTTTTGTAAAGGAGTTGAGCAAGGACTTACTAGCTGGTCAGAAAGAGTCCTTGTTCCTACTCCAGGTCTGGCCCTCTCCCCATCCTCTACCTCTCTGGATTATCCTGTTGTCCTGTGTCTGTAGAATGGTATAGAGGCCTGGTGAGGGATGGAGGGAGGACTGTTCTTCCCCTCTCTGCTAAGTTGGGCTCAGGATCCAGTAGGAGGATGGTACATCTGGGCCTTTCTGTCAAGAACCTGACCAGCATAGCTATGCTTCATGTCCATTGGATGAAGAGACGCTTGCTCCTTGCTTCCAGAGGTGCATGAAAACCTAAGTTCCTGACATAGGCCCATGGGTACGTGCATATAGGTTGGCAGCAGGAACAAAGAAAAAAATAGACCTTCAGAACCTCACAGTAAGAAGTCAAGTAAATCCAGAGGAAAACCACATCCATATCCCGAAAATTTGTGCCACGTGACTTAGCATGTGAGAGCATGGCTATTAACTGGTCTCAGTGATGGCAGGCAAGTGACTTCTGGCCTTCAGTCAACATGTCCATTAAATAGGGAGGATAGTAATGGCTGCCTAATAGGCCTGTAATAGGGTTTAATGGGATACTCCAACACAGCATGGTTCTTAGAGCCTTAAAATGTTAGAATCATTATTCCCCAATATATTACCTTATTTATCCCCCACAGCTCTATTCCTATCATTCTCATTGTACGGGTCAGGAAACTGAGACTTCAGAAGATTAAATTACTGGCTTTAAATAATGCAGCCAGGAAAATATCTGGAACTCAGCTGTTCTCTGTATTCTTCTTTCTCTATCTTACTTGAGGGAAGGCCCAGGATTGTGCATGAATAAGGGAGTTGTTGTTCTATAAGTCTAATGGTGTAACAAGGTCTCATGAGTCCTTTAGGGCTGCCATAACAAAATATCAGAAACTGGGCAGCTTAAAACAACAGAAATTTATTGACTATGGCTCTCAATGCTGGAAGTCCAAGGTCAAGATTTCACATGGCCAAGCTCCCTCTGAAGGCTCTAGGGGAAAACCTTTTTACCTCTGCTAGCCTCTGGCATTTGCCAGCAGTGCTTGACTTGCAGGTGCATCATTCTGGCCACATGGCCACGTTCCCCCAGTGACTTCACACCATCTTTCCTCTCTGGGTGTCTATCTCTTTGTCCACATTTTTCCTTTTTGTAAGGACATGGGTCATACTGAATTGGGGCCCATTCTAAGGACTTCATTTTAACTTGGTTACTCTATAAAATCTCTGTTTCCAAATAAGGTCACATGCATAAGTTTCAGGAGTTAGGACTTCAACATCTTTCTTGGGGTGGGAGGACATAAATCTACCCAAAACAAAGGTCCTACAAAAATTAGCACTCCCAAAACATTCTAGAAACAGAATTTCTATGAATGGCACCTGGTTTCCCTGGATTGGTTTGATGCAGTAAGGGTGCAAGCAGGCCTGAGTTGTCCTGCTGAGCCAGCGTGGGCAACTCATCCTGGACCAGAGGAATAGAGTTGGAGTCCATTCAGGCTGCTATAGAAAAATACCTTAGACCGAATAATTTATTATCAGAAATTTTCTGCTCACAGTTCTGGAGATTGGAATTTCCACAATCCAGACACCAACAGATTCAGTGTCTGAAGAGGGCCAGCTCTCTGGCTCACACGTGGCACCTTGTTCATGGCACCTCACATGGCAAAAACAGCAAGTAAACTCCCTCAGGCCTCTTTTATTAGGGCACTAATCCAAATAGGGCCTCTACTGTAAAGCACCTCCCCAAGGAAGGACTGTAGGGAAAGGCGAAATACCAGGGAGTGATATTGGCCAAATTATATTAATGTATTATGCGAATGAACAAATACATTAACAGTGAATCGTACCATTATGTATAATGTATTATACATTATAATTATGTATTATAATGTATAATACATTATGTATACTTAAACACACCAATAAAAATAGGGAAAAGAAAGAAAGAAAGGAAAAGAAAGAAAGCACCTTCTTGAAGACCCCATCTCCTATTACCCTCACATGGGGGCAGGTTTCCAACATATGTGTTCGGGGGAACATAAACATTTAAACCATAGAAGCTGGGGAATCACCTTCTCACCCTAAGAACAAGCCCAAGATTCTGGCCCCTCGTTCTGAGTCCTTGCTGCTTTGACACCATAGCCATGACAGACTAGGTCAACAGTGGATAGGAAGAAGGGGTGGGCCTTGCTCAAGAAGTGTTCAGAGGTTTTGCAATTAACTGTACTCTCACATAGGTGTTGTTCCGGTCACCTGGTCTTTGGGTCAGCAAAGCATCGTGCTTCCAGCTCCCCTTAAGTCTCTTTTTATGCACCATCAGAATCCCCAAGAATCTAGAATAACAAAACCCAGGCTGCCACCCCCTAGCTTCTGTAACTTCCTCTCCCACTGCCCACCCCAACTCTGGCCACATCTCACTGTGGCAGTGCCCTGATCAAGGCTGGCCTGGCCTGCGTCTGTCTTTACTCACACAGTTATTTGTTCCTTTGAGACTGTGTACTCTCCAGAGCTCTGTCTGGCTCACTCTGCTGCCTCGTTCCATGGAAGTTTTCCCCCTGCAGTCAGAATATTCTCTCCTTCCTATATATTTCCACAGCCCTTTGCTTCTACCCCTGGTTAGCCCTTACTTAATTTCATCTTGTGTTAAGGAGAGCTGTTGCCATGCTTGTCTTCCCTGTTAGAATATCAGCACCTTGATGATGGGACCATCTTGTTGACCCTGTATTCTCTGGGGCCCAGCACACAGCTTTGGGCTTATGCATACCTGAGGGAGGCCATGACCCATGGCAGATGTGGGTGCTCAGCCTCACAAACGACACTTAGGGTTTCTTGCTTTTGAATGGTCTTGCAGTTTCTATTTTGACACACAGGAAAGGAGGAAGGAAGGAAGGAAGGAAGGAAGGAAGGAAGGAAGGAGATGAGGAGGGAGGAGAGGTTGGATAGAGAGAGGGACAAAAGAAAGAAAGCATGGAGGGAGAGAAGGAAGGGGAAATGCAAAGTTCAAGTTCATAGAGCAAGTTTTTAGATCATCTGGAGTGTATGCATTCAGTGAACACATATTGTGAGATTAGTAATGTAATATTAACCAGCCAGTTGCACATGGTCAAAACTAAGCAGAAGTCTTGCCTGTGCATTTGGACAAGGCTGGGGTTAACATTCATTTGGTGGTGCCTCCTCTGGCACCTTATCCCACCTTCTGGTAGCCTGTATAGTCACTTGCTTTCCTCAGTTTGCTGAATGCAGCTCATTTCCAAATACTTTGGTATTTCAGTGAGAACTCATTTCTAGGATACAAAGGAGATTTGTGCCTTCTGTGCACTAGAATAAATTTTCCAATCTTTTCACCATCAAGGCCAAAGATGTAACTTTGCATCTGAGACAACGAATGTGGCCTTAGGCTAGGGAGGGGGTTCCTGGGTCCACAAAAGCAGTCTCTGCAGTGAAAGGCTATATTTCCAGCACTGTCTCTGTCCTCAGTGGCAGGTTCTGAATAAGGCGAAGAATCACATTCAGGAACTGGAACAAACCCTGGACAACTTGCTGAAAATGAAAGGTAACAGATCCCTCCCTGGAGAAGACTGGCTCCATTTTTCAATTGATAACAGAGAAATAAGGTCACACTGAGTCAATAGATATTTAATGAGGGTCACTGTATGCCAGCCACTGTGCTTGGTTATGAAGTTGATGTCCGAGTCCCTAGGGAGCTTGCAGTGCAGCCAGACAGGCAGGGGTCACCAACCTGTGGGGGTTTGATGAATCCCCTAATGGGGTGCTGCTGAGAGCACCTGACCTCACCTTGAGAAACCAGAGAAGTGGTCAGTACTTGTACTGAGCTGCCCTCTTGCACCCAGAAAGGGAGGTGGAAAATGGCCTCTGGACTCCCTAGTACTGAGCCTGGGAGGGTTCAGAGCTCCACCATGGAGCAGAAAGGCAGGAGAGACTTAATACAGGTCTGACTTTCTCCTTTGTGACTCTTGCCTCAACTTCCTAATAGAATCCTTCAATCTGGAGGATGGGAATGCAAGCAGCTTAGAGGAAGTCAAGGAAGAATATGCCAGAATGTACTCTGGAAATGACAGGTAAGATGCAGCAACCACAGGAGAATGAGAACCTGCTGTCTTGCCCCTTTGGCCTTGGAGGCTGCCTCCCAGTAGTCCACCCTCCCTCTACGTGCAAGATGGTCAGGGCTGCTGCTCACTCACAGATGTCTGTCCTGGGTTCTCCTTTATCTTAAGTGCATGCTTCAATTTATTTTTACAATTATAAAAATGATTATTACAGAAAATGATTACTATAGAAAGTGATTATTAGAGAAAATGTAGAAAATACAGAAAGGCCTGAAAATATGAATCATCTCGCCTTTCAAAGAAAATGTTGATTTTGAGGAATATCCATCCATCTATTTTTCAAATTTTGCACATTATTTTTAGAATGATGACATCATTGTGTTCATCTTATATAGTGTATTACTACATCTCGTATCTTATATATATTTCTTAAAGTCCTCAGTTAATAGCTTTATTGGAAAGTAATATGAAAATAAGGAAAATGCAAATCTTGGCCTACTTTAAAAGTCTCATAGGAACCTAGGAAAAGGCACATTAAACTTGAAAGAGGAAAATAACCATTGTACACATAGGTGTCACAGTTGCTGAATGGGGAATGTTATTAATAATGTCACATTTAAATTGTGAAAGACTGATCTGAGAAATGTCTTTCTTGTAATTTTTTGATGTCAGGTTTTGTACTTAACTCCTGCAATTTCTGGGCTTTTCATGCATGCTGTGTGGATATATTCTCAGCACTCAAAGGATGACCTAACCCTTGCGTTCACCTGCAGCTTGCAAAGCTACTTTGACCACAGCCTGGACTTTAGGGGCAATGTCTGGGCCCCTGTCGTGTCTGGTGGCTCTGGGCATGTCCAGCTCTAATGGCATGGTGTACATCCAAGTTGGCCTCTGACAAAACAGAGCTCAAGCCATCTTTGCCCCCTCCCAGAAGGGGGCTGCGAACTACTTGCTATTCGGAGTCAAAAGTCCGCCTGGATGAAGCGATGTGGCTTCTAGTGTTTGATGGTGTGATCACGCATGACTTTTACTGTCTTCTCAGTACTTTTTGGTGTTTTCCAAATTTTTAAACAGTGAATGTGTATTACTTCTGATGTCAAATAATCAGGGGAAACAATTATTAAAAATGAAATAAAATTCACATTGTAAATGATGTGAAAATATACAAAAATGTGTCAAGAGGAAAATAACCGCCTACGTTTAATCTTATTTCATAGACAACTTGATCACCATTATGTTCCCAGAGGGGAGGCAGGTGTGATGTGTGTATGTGTGCATGAAGGTGGCAGTTAGGAGCCTTGTTTTAAAAATCACACTGGGCTGATGGTGAGGTGGGGCCCAGTCCGAGATGGTTTCAGTCAGTCAGAATTCTACATTGGCTTATCCCAAATGACTAACAGTGATCCCAACCCCATTTATTATACGTTGTCTTTTCTTTACTAAAATATGAACATTATCATATACTAAAAATCTTATAAGTCCTTTTATCACCTGCTCATAAAAGAATAGCTAAATTATAATAATTAGGGAGGAATTTTTTGCTATAATAATTAAAACTGTGGTGCCAGCATAGAGAAGACTAATTTTATTTTGTAATTATTATATTTTAGTAATTAATTAGCTAATTGATTATGAATTAACTTGAGTGCCTTTGTTCAAGGTAATTTTTATTTCCATTCCTGGGAATTGTTTGTACCTATTGTTTTGTCTGTTTTCCTGCTGCACCGGCAATCTTTTTCTTATTTAATTATAGAAGTTCTTTATATATACAGAGGAATTAGCTCTCTATGGTGAGACTTGCCAAATTTTTTCTTTTGAACATTTGTTCTATTATTTTTCCTATTGTTTTTTGCTTTTTGTGTTTGCCATGCAAAAAAAAATGAAGTCTGATCTATCAATCTGTTATGACACCTGGGTTGTAGGGAATACTTAGAAGTCTTTCTCTATTCTGAGATTAAAACGTTGTGTTTGCTGTTGTTGTTTGTTTTTTCTGGCAAGTTTGCTTTTTAACAGGACTTGGTTGATTGGGGAGTATTCCTATCAGTATGAAGAGAAGCTGGTTTTAAGTTCTGATTTTCCAAATTGTGTCATGTTGTTTCATACTATTAAAAATGTATTTTTGAAGAGCAAAATTCTATAATGTTGATGAGTTCATTTTATTCTTTTCTCACACTTTGAACTTTTGATTTAAACTTAAATATTTCATGATTTTGGTATTATTATAAATAATAATTTTAAAAATGTTAATATTCAATTGTTCATTCCTAGTATACAGAAATATATGTATATATATATATATATATATATATATATATATATAAATATTTTTAACATATATATTAATTGGCACATAGTAGTTGTACATATTTATGCCTTAGTGGGATATTTCAATACATGTATATAATGTTTAATTATCAGACCAAGGTAATTGACATTTCTATCACTTTAGACATTTATCATTTCTTTGAGCTGGGAATATTCCAAATCTTCTTTATTAGCTATTCTGAAACAATTAATTCTTGTTGGCCATAGTTATCTCTATAGAACATTAGAAAATCTTCCTCCTCTCCTGGAGCCCTATACCCGTTAACCATCCTTTCTCTATCTCCCACTTCCCCACACCCTTTCCAGGCTCTGGTAACCTTTATTTTACTAGAAATAGTATTGATTTTTGATTCTTGATCTGGCCTTCTGCAACCTTGCTAAGTTCCCTTCTGAATTCCAGTCATATGTTTGTGGATTCTTGGGATTTTCCACATTGTCACATTGTGTCTGAAAATAAAGATATTTTTATTTCTTACTTTCCAATATGTAGACCTTTTACATTTTTCCTGCCTTATTAGACTAGCTAGTATCACTAATATGGTTTTGAATATGTGTGTGTGTGTGTAGACACACATATAAAAAGAGAGTTTTTATATACAAAATATTGCTATTTATATATTAAATATTGCTAAGATTTTGAGTTTCATGTCCGCTGGGAATATTTGTCTACAGGTCTACAGTATTACTAACTTGTGTCTGTTTTCTTCCCCAGTCTGGTCTCAAATAGTTTTCCTCAGAATGGCTCCTCCACCTGGTGCCCAGTTGAATCAGTCAGAAAGGATGCTGAGGAAGAAGAAAATGAGGAAGAGGAAGAGGAAGACCAAGAAGAGGAGGAAGAAGAGGAAGAGGAGAAAAAAATTGATCTCTTACATTCCTCTGCCGCTATGTCGCCAGACCTCCTGGAATTTGAACGGTGTGAACAGCTGGGTGGGGTGATGTTTGGACACACACAGAGCTCCTGTGTGGAAGGGGACAGAAACTCCAAGTGGAGTATGCTGTAGCCTCAATGCATGCTCAGACCAGCCTGAATTATGGGAGGGGCTTTCTTCTCAGTACTTTTTTGTGTTTTCCAAATTTTTCAACAGTGAATGTGTATTATTTCTGATGGTAAATAATCAGGAGAAACAAATATTAAAAATGAAGTAAAATTCACATTGTAAATGATGTGAAAATATACAAAAATGTGTCAAGAGGACAATAACCATGTAGGAGGGGCTGGGGTTGGGCTTGGTCTGAGGGGCTAGACACATAGTCTGGAAGCCATAACTGAAGAGCAAATACAATGTTTTTTATTTAGACTGGGTGTTTATTTGGGGTGCAAGGGTGGCTTGTTGATGGTGATTATGAGGGATGAGTTCCCCCTCCCCGTACCCCACACACACCCTACATGTCCCCTTTCAACCTCATATCTGGTCTTAACAGAGATAAAGGTGGAGGCTGGCTGGATCAGACTTCCTTTGACACAGCCTCCTCCACAGACCCAAGACCCCTCAGTAGCCTTATTGGCCTCCAGAGGCACAAGAGGAGGAGACCCAGTCCACAGCTGAGTCTGACTTACAGACCCCAGATTAAAGCAGCAGTCTATCAAGCCTGCACATTGATGGCCTCCTAATTAGACTTTTGGGTGGGGTGGGGGGGGGTGGGAGCTGAGCAGCCACATCTCTCACCTAACATTGAGCAGAGCTTTAGGGGCGGGGCCCTGGGAGGACCTAGGGAGCCCCCCCCCCAGCACAAATCTCTGTCCTTGGTCCCCAAGGTGCCTTCTGCTCCCCGACAGCGGCTTCTGCCCTGCAGGGGTGGAGGCAGAGGCTTGAGGCCAAGCGCCCTGCACCCCCAGCATGGCCCGGGCACGGTGCCTTGGCCTCTGCAGGGACAGACTCCTGAGAGGCAGCGCCTGTCCTCTTCCAGGTATCTCAACTTTTACAAGCAGACGATGGACCTCCTGACAGGGAACGGCATCGTCTCCTCCCAGGAGGTGACTCTCCCCATCGTCTCTGCGGCCATCTCCCACCTGTGGCAGACGCTCTCCGAGGAGAGGAAGGCCATCCTCCTGCAGACCTGGGCGCAGAAGCACGGTGGCCTCCCGGGCCTCGCGGTGGCCTGCCAGGAGCCCGTGGGTGCCGAGGGCAGTGTGAAGGACAGCGGAGTAGACAGCCAGGGGGCCAGCTGCTCGCTCATGTCCACCCCGGAGGAGGTGAGCAACCTGTGGGAAAGCGGAGGACGCAGAGGAACCACTGTCACCCTCCACCCAGGGTTTGCTTGGTCACTTTGCAAGCTTGAGGTGCCATTTCTATTGCAGGTGGCACCACAGGCTTCTGATTTTCTCAACATAATCTCCACGATCACCAAACAGTATTTCTTGTTAGTGTCCTGGCCTTTCTATAGGATTGCAGAGGGGAAGGTTAAATCCTGTGGGAATCTTTTGGCTGCCAATGACTTGATGATTAAACTATGAAAAGCCGGCAGGTGGCCTGTAATCCCAGTGGCTTGGAGGCTGAGGCAGGAGGATCCCAAGTTCAGAGCCAGCCTCAGAAATTTAGTAAGGCGCTGAGCAACTTAGGGAGGTCCTGTCTCAAAAATAAAATAAAAAGGGCTCAGTGGTAAAGTGCCCCTGAGTTTAATCCCCAGTGCAAAAAACCAACCAACCACCACCAACCACAAAAACATGAAGAAATGCACAACTCATGTCAGGGAGGTCACTGTTAATTGACCTGCTCAGTGGTGTCCCCTTGGACTCAGGTTCCTCTTTTCTCTCGGGTTTCTCATCCTTCCCTCCCCTCCCCACTTCTCTCACCCCCAGTGGTCATTCTTCCTCCTGTACACCAGGTAGAGAAAGAGTCCCTGTGAAGGCTCTTAGTTAAGGAGGAACTTTTTCCAGAAGCTTCTACCATACCTCTCCTCCCCTCTCATTGGCCCAAATTGTCCAGCTTACTGAGCCGATGGGAAAGGATGACACAAGCACCCATCAGGCACAGACCCAGAGAGGTGACCAGTTCCCAGAAAACATTGCAACCACTGGGTGAAGAGGGGGCAACCACAGCTTCCACTCTAAATGCCTTTCTCAGCTTTCCAGTAGTTAGGATGCCACAGTCCACAGATCGAGCACCAGGTGGTGTTAGCCGTCATCCTGTTCTGAGATAGAAGCAGGCCAACAGCAGCTCCTCCAGAGTTAGGAGCTCTTCAAAAGCCTGCTGCTCCCACATGGGCCCAGGCTGCCCTCACTCTGTTAGCCCAGGGACAGGCAGTTCCTTGCTCCCTGCACCTGTCCAGTGCTTAGTAGGACATTTAACATCCATGGCTATGACCCCCTTCCCCCTTGCCTTGACTATCCAAATGCCCCTCGGTGGGTGGTCCCTTTGAGGAGACAGCCATACTAGTCTCCCGTCTGTCCCTCTGTGGAGTCTTAGAACCAGAGAACTTCCATGTGCTTCTGACCCCACAGTTACAGCCCTGGAATACCCCAATCCTTCTGGAAACTTCCACAGTCATGTCCAAGTCTAGAGAACAACAGAGCTGTCACCTAGTCCTATCCTCTATTTGGCAGTCCTAGTTAGAGGTGTGATTTGTCCAAACACCCAGCTCCTACTTCAGGGATTGTATCCCTCTCATTTTCTCAAATCTCTCTGTCTGTCCTATGTGTGGATAGTCAGCCTTTCATTATCTCCCTGAATCACCCATGGAGCACAGTAAGCAGGCAGGTTCCTGGCTCCCTACCCAGATCCACTGAATCAGAATTCCTGAGGGTAGGGTTCTGGGATCCACATTTTAAAGAGCACTCCAGGTGATTGATGCACCAGGCATTATTGGCAAGACCTCCCAGAGCACATGTGCAAGTGTCCCTGGCTACTGCCTTAGACCACCCCCAATCATGAATACTCCAGTTTCCCATCTGTTTTTCCCCTAATGTAGGGTCCACCATGAGAGGATGCAGGTCCTCTATAATGGTTTAAGGAGAACCAAGTCAACCAGCAGCCCAGGATTTCATACCCAAGGCACACAGGAGAGGGGAGCCAGGGTAGATGTCTTTGTAACCCTAAGGTGCCTAGCCATTGAGTCTTGCATACACACACACACACACACACACACACAGTATATATCAAAATCCTGAGTAACTGAACGTGTGTGTGTGTGTGTGTGTGTGTGTGTGTGGTGTATACAAGCACCTGTGCATTTGCCAACATGAACATTTCCTCAAGGAAGAACATCTCCAAAGAGAAACCAGACTCTAATGTCCAAATCATGGGAATGATTTGCCTGGCCTTTCTCAGAGAAGGCTGGTGCTTTTCTGGTGCTGAGGGAAACAGGCAGCAGATTCCCCCAGCCATGCCCAAGAATAGGAGCTTCCTGCCCAGGGTTTGGTCAAGCCAGGCAGGTGAGAAGGTGAGTGGAACAGAGCACACTCATGCTCAAGACAGGGCCAACCACAGCTGCTCCTCCTGTGGCTTCTACATCAGCTCTGTGCTCTTCTAGTTCAGCTTTACTGTAGCTCCTGGTCCTTCTGGAAAGGTTTAACAATTGGGTTTCTGCCAGCCCCTGTTCTCAGGGTTCTCTGCATCCAGGAGGCCCCAGTCCATTCTGCTTCAGGTCTGGGATGTGTGGTCCCTAAGTGTGGTGGGAACTCCAAAAGGAGCCTGATCTGAGTCCTTTCCAGGTTGGATCATGAGGGGGCTTTGCATACATGGAGACAACGTGTGGCCTGCAACTCTGGTTATGGAGGGGAATTTAGGTCTTGGGTCCCTGACTCAGGCCTGTTGTGAGGAGAGAGCACAGGCCTTTCTATGGCCTCTTCCAGAGCTTCTTTGAAGTAACAAAAGAAATCTAAGTAGGACATCAGAAAACTGGAAGGGACCACCCACATAGCCAGAATTCCAAGGGATTCAGTTACAGGGAAGTGAACTGAGTGAAGACATGAAGAGCTGGGCAAGAGCAGTGTCCTGGGCAGGAGTGAGGAGGGACCCTGGCAGGACCTGTAGGTACTAGGGGCCAGAGGACACCCCCTCCTCCCCTCAGGGTGATCACCAGAGTAAATAAGGTGCCAAAGAAAATAAAGCATGTCCAGCTAAACTTTTAAAATATTTTTTTCAAAAAATATCCTGTGTAATTTGGGGGGAAATTCTTATGACAAAAAAATTCTTCTTTATCTGAAATTCAAATTTAACTAGGCGTCTTGCGTTTCTATTTGCTACATCCATCAATCTTAAGTGTAAATCATGTTTTTACAGAATATTTACAGATTAAAGGACCAAAAACTGTCTAAATAACCAAATTCTAAATTTGGAAGCATATCGTCATTATCCTTATATTGCTACTAGCAGTCCTTGTCATTATCATTATATAATATGCCTGGGGAAATAACTGAAGAGAAGTGGATTGATATAGCAACAGCAGGTATCTCTGATGGATTCTTAATGATTCTTATATTCCTTATCTGTTTCTATTTTCTAGAATTTCAACAACACTGTTTTGTTTATAAAGCAGCTGATATTTAATACAGCCAACATACTGAGCCATTATTTTGTGTCCGGTGTATGACCTGAATTCTTGCAACAACCCTGAGTAGGTCACATTGCTAGCTCAGTCTATTTTGCGCTGCTGTAGCAGAATCCCTGAGACTGGGTAATGTATAATGACCAGAAATTTGTTGGCTTATAGTTCTGGAGGCCAGCAATCTATTATCAGTGTGCCGACATCTAGCAAGGACCTCCCTGCTGCACCGCACATACTGGAGAAGGGAGGTGGGGAGAGACAGAGAGGTTCAGATGAGACTTTCCAGCCTGTAAACAGGATCGGCTCTGCTGTCACCTCCCATGCCTGAGCCACTCTCTTCTTTAGAAAGATGAGACAGTCCCAGTACTTCCTCTCTCTCAGCCATCTCCAGGGCTGGCAGTTTGTCCCCGGCAGTGAAGAACTTAATGTTCAGCTCTGGGGAAGATTATGAAGCAGAGACCCTGAGTTTGGACCCCAGCTTTGACACTTGTGCATTTTGCGGATGAGTGTACAAAGAAAGCCTTTCTACTCTCTGCCCAGCAGCCTCGCCAGTGTCAAGCTGAGAAGTTATTTCTGACTTAAGGGGTTCTGTGCTTTCTTTCAGCTCCTTTTTGAAGACGCCTTTGATGTGGCAAGCTTCCTGGACAAAAGTGAGGCTCCCAGTACCTCCAGCCCTAGGTGAGAAGATGGTGTGAGACAGCATGAGCAAGTGTGAGTTGGTGTGCAACTGTGTGAGTATGAGATTGTGGAGCATGTGGGTGTGTGTGTGTTACATGAATGAGTGTGCACGCATGTGTGTATGTCTACGCATGTGCACCCCTGCTGGGCATTTCCTGCCTTTCCCCTGCAGCTCCCAGATGGGTGCAAGTTCTCAGGGACCCACTTTTTCCCTGTGATTGAAGTGGACTGATCCTAGGATTGTACTGTCGCTTTGGGGATGACATTGTCTGGGGCATCCTCAGAGGAGAGAATCTTCTGTCCTGGCCCAGGGCTAGAACACACCAGGTTATCAGCCCCAGGTTATGTAAATGCACCTGTTTCCTTTGGTGGGTTTCCCAGTATGTCTTAGTCCTGCTTCAGGCTGATCTAGCCTTGCTTACAAGATCATTATTATACAAAATACCAAAACCCAGCTGGTTTATAAACAACAGCATTTATTGCTCACAGTTCTAGGGAGCCGGAATTCCAAAGTCAAGATGCTAGCAGATTCAGTCTAGTGAAGGCCATTTCTCATAGGAGGCATCTTCTCAATGTCACCGTATCTTGCTGGGCAAGGTGGTGCATGCTGGTAATCTCAGTGACTTTGGAGGCTGAGGCACTGAGGATTGCAAGATTAAGGCCAGCCTCAGCAAATCAGGGAGGCCTTAAGCAAATTAGTGAAATAAAAAATAAAAGGGGCTGGGATGGGGGTATGTAGCTCAGTGTTATCAGTGGTAAAGCTCCCCTGGGCTCAATGCCCAGTATGTCTCCCAGGCCTCTTCTATAAAGGTCCTAATCACCTGCCAAGGGTCCCACTTCCTAATACCATTGCCTTGGGGGTTAGGTTTCAGCATATGAATTGGGCGTGAGACACAGACCTTCAGTCCATAGCACCCAGGGTCAGGCAGCCCATGGGCAGGAGAGTGGGCAGGGGGTCTGGGGCACAGAGGACCTGGGCCAACATGGAGGCAGGCCTGTGCCCTGACTTTAAGGGCTTCTCTGAGCTGCCTTTCACAGTGCTGATGAGAACAGCTATGGAAGAAGCAGAGAAGGGTGTGGCTCACCCAAGGAGCAAGAGGACATAAAACGGGGTCTGAGAAGATTTAAAACAGGGAGGACTTGGACTCAGTCTGTAGCAAGGGCATTTTCTCAGAGGAAGTCAGTCTGGCACTGAAATTCCCTGGCTGCTGCGTGCAAGGCTGGGCCTGTGGCCTGCAGGGACAGAGCTAGTGTCGAGGCTCAAAAGAAACCTGGACCTTGAGTTTTTCTGCCTTGGGAATGAGGGTGCCATCTACATCTAAGGATCCGAAGGAGTGTCTTCATTGTCTTCTCAGTGGAAACCTGGCCTCCTGCAGGCCTTTGGTCAGGCACGAGAGCTGTGCAAGGGTCCAGGACAGCTTCAAGTAGAACCCCAGTCCAGATCTGAGGATGGTTCCACCACCCCACCTGCCCCTGCAGGTCCATTCAGATCTCAGGAGACAGGGATTGACGGAGGAGACTCTTCCCTCTTCAAAGCCACTTCATGTGGTGACAGGAGCTCTCCTCAGCTGTGTGCCGAGTGTCATTCTGCTGCAGCTGGCTGGAAGCTGACATTCCTATTTCCGCACTGGGCTCAGGCTGCAAAAACAACTTGGTTGAGAAGCTGCCAAAGCACACTTGCCAAGCAGTATTTGACATTCTAATGGAACAAAAACCAACCCATTAAAAACGCTTTCCCTGCTTTCTCTAGAAAAGGTAGGGATTACTGCCAGTGGGGTTCCTAGCCTGGCTGTGGGACCTCATCCCAGGAGGAAGAGTGAAGGGCAAATATCGTCTGGCTTACAGGACGCATAGCCACTGTACCTCAAGGCTCCAGTTGCACCGGGCTGCTCCCCTTGGAAGAAAGGAGAGCTGGAAGACCAGCCCCCTTTCTGCAGGGCCTGAGCTCCAGGCTAGACACACTGAGAGGGGGTCTTTCCTGGGACTGAACTCAAAATGTGCCTTAGCAGCCACAGGTGGGACCCAAACCCTGGGCTTTGCTCCAGCAGGTTGACTCAGAGGTAAAAGAAAACTTGCTCCCTCATTCTAAAGGCCACAGCTCAAAACATTACATTAGGGCGCAAGATCCAGTCCTATCACAGTCTTGTTTTTCCGGAGGATTTCAGACATGAAACTTGACAAAATTAATACAAACCTGTCAAGAAAAGCTGTGGGCTGTCCAAGAATTCGACTGGGTGTATGAAAGTGTTGCATTCACACCACAATCCAAATGCTTGGCAGGGGGAAGGGTAGTCAATCAGAGGTAAAAAATCAGGATTCTAAACATTTGCTGTTTCTTCTTTCTTTCTCTTGACAGTTCATTGTTTGCCATCTGCAACCCAGAAAACCCAGAGGGGAAGTTTCAGCTCTATATGCAGATCATTGACTTTTTTAAAGGCCTTTGCTGCATTAACACTCAGTTAAAACAGGTAGGACAGCTAGATACTTACCCACCCTTGTTAGGATGGCAAAAAGAGCTCTTGAGGGGGCCTGGCCAACCCTCACCCTGATTACCCCAAGAAGGCAATGGGCAGACATTCTTTCAATCTCTCTGTCCTATTCCATGGATGGTCAACTTCAGCCTAAAGCCTCCTGTGAAATGGAAGACATCAGGGAAACTGAGAAAAGAGCAGCAGGGTGTCCTCTGGGCAGAGCGGCACTGGTGACCAACCCCTGGAAGCAGGGACCAGATCCCAGGGCAGCTCTTAGCAGGCCTTCGTACATGTTATGTGACATCTTTCCAAAAGGCTGAACCGTTTCATCCTCTGAAATCTCGCAGCTCTAAAAGGATAATTTCTGCTCCTAAAAAACTTCCTCTGCAGCTTATGGTGACCTAATTCATGGGGGTCTTGGTTAGGGTGTCCATTCCTGAGGCTGTCATAGGGAGAATGGCTGTCTGACCTACCAGAAGACAGGCCCTTTGAGATTCGTAGCTATAGATTTTTCTCTGCTAATTTGGCAAAAATACAACTATTTATTTTAAAAGGCAAGCTTAACAATGGCTCACATTTGCCTAAAAATAATTAGGCCACCTTTTCCATAGGCTAGGGTGTAATTGGCCCCTTTCCCATTCATTCATTTCCCCATGCGGACACCACTTTCAATCCCCACTTGGAGTCCAGAGCCCATTCCTGTAGTTGTCTCCACTTCCCACCAATGGCGGGGTAACTGTCTCATAGCAACTGTACCAGCTTTCTGTCCGACACAGTTAAATTAGTCCACTTCATCAAGGCTTTGAGAACAAATAAAGGGGACAGTTTTTGCTTTCCTGACTTCCTTTCTCCACACGTGGCAGAAAAGCAAGGAGCAGAGGTCAGAGTGTCCCCATAAAGCACAGGCTCTTGAACTTCAGTGTTCCCTAGACTCACCTTGGGAGCTTATTCTCAAGGTTCTCATTCAGTGTTATGAGAATGGGGCACTGGGATTTGGGTTTTGAGCAAGCTGTCCAAGGGGTTCTAGGCAGGAGGCCTTGGACTTTGGTAGACTCTGGTGCAAAGAGGGAAATTTCATTCTCCTTCAGTTTCACCTCCAACTCACTGCTACCCCTATCAGCTTTATGGGAGGTGGCTGGATCAGGATTCATTAGCACCTGAACTGGGTTCCTAGGGCTGCTTTAAGAAGTGACCCTAAACCTGTGGCTTGAAACAACAGGCTTATTTCAATGTTCTGGAGGCCAGAAGCTTGAGATTAAGGTGTTGGCAGTGCCATACTGCCTCCAAAGGCTTCAGGAAAGGGTCCTTCTTGGCCACTGCCTGGCTCCCAGTGGCTTCTGGTACCACTCAGCATTCTTGCCCTTTATGGCTCCATCCCCCCAGGCACTGCCTCTGTTTTCACATGTCCTTCTTCTCTGTCCCTCTGCCCCTCTCATCGTTTATGGACACAGGTCACTTGGATCTAGAGCCCCCACGAAATTCAAGATGGCTTCATCTTGAGATCCTTAACTAATTACATCTGCCAAGACCCTGTTTCAAATGAATTTCCAGGGGGACATGACTTTTGGGGAGCTCTTCAGCAACCAGTAACAGCAAATATCTCTCACAACCTGATGCTGTGAGCTTAAAAATATGCAGCTTAAAAGTGCCTCAGACTCCATTATTTCCTTAAGGAAATAGGACATTTTGAACAACATTTGGGCACTGTGTGTGACATTTGGTTGTTTTGTTCTCTCCCAGGACACTTGGCCCCTTGGGGTGCTCTCTGACTACCTCTTGTCTCAAGCTTGGCAGTTGTCTTCATTCTGAACAAGGAGCACATGTTATTCCCCTAGAGATTACCTGATCCAACTTCTCTGATTCTCTCTCTTTCTTTCTCATTTCCAATACTGGAGCTAGAGCCTGGGCCTGGCATGTGCTAGGCAATACTGAGCCATCCCAGCCTCTCTGATCCTCTTGATTCTCTTTTCCCTTCCCCCACCAGGAAAGCATGTGAATGGGAAACTAGCAGAGGTCATCCCCCCATCTAGGTGTCCACCTTGGGACCATCCTACTTTCATTAGATAGCTGAGGGGGATACTGCCCAGGACCCCTGGAGAACAACCCTGATCTGCAGGGACAATAAATGACAAGGGTCATTTCTCAGCTGGGTGGAGAGACACAGGAAGAGAAAATACCTGGGAACATATTTTTAGTGGAAGAAGTAATGGACAGGCCCGAGAGGTTGGATGGGTCATTGTAAAGGGAATGAGAAACTTGATAAACACATATAGCACTGCTTCTTAAAAACTGATCACCTCATATGTAACCCATGTCCATGGTACAAAAAGTATTCTGTAAAACATAGGCTTTCTCCTGCAATGACTTCTTGCTTACTATTGCAAACTCTTCCCTTCCATGACAGTGTCTTATATAGCCATCCAAAGACGGTCTGCAGGAATTCATATATTCTTTCAAACACAAGTAGTAGCCTACTATACACATTGTTTTGAACTTCGCTCCTCTTCTAATAGTGTACCCCACAGATAGTGATCTCATTATTTAAAAAAAACCCAGCTGCAGGCTGGTGGAAGTAGCTGGGGGGTAGAGTGCTTGCTCAGCACTGTGAGGTCCTGGCTCCCATTCCCAGCTCTGCAAAATAGTAATAATAATTATGATGAATAAAAATTTTAAGTAAAAATAAACTAAAATACAGCTTCATGGCATTCCATGAGGGGAACACCATGCTGTAGTGTGCTGTCTTCTATTGATGAGCCTTTTGATAAAGATTTATGGCTTCCCCATTTCTCTTATGGGATCCTGGAAATCCCCAGGATAGGAGAGTAGCCAGTTCCACTTCCTTTCTGGAGGTGTGTGAGTTGAGTGAAATGGAAATAGGACCACCCCCCTTCTTCCATGGATGGGGGCTGAAGGTAACAGCTGTGGAGACTGGGAGAGTTGGGCACACCCAAGATGCTGGGACCTTCCTATCTGCCTGGAACTCTTAAATCAAAATTTCAACCTCTTCCACCTGTGTTTTGCAGGAACCAGACCTTCCCACTGACGATGAGATGGTAATGTTGAGGTGCCTAGAGACCTTTGACGATGAAGATTTGTAATGCAGAAGGACTGGAAGGGGAGAGGACTGACAGAGAGTGGGAGTTTCCGAGTTTGAATGTTAGCAGATCCGGTTATACCTGCCTTGGACTTCCAGGGCTCTTTGGAGGGCACTGTCCCAGAAGCGTTCTGATGGTTTTAGTTTCTGATTAGTATAAAGTACAAGACAAGCAAGGCCTTGTGTTGGTCTTTCAGGGTTTTTTGGTATAAGGGGCTGGTCTTCTCCAGGACAATCCACTCTGTCCCTACTCAGGAGGTACCAGGTACAGGAGAGGCCCAGTCCTTGGGCCTTTCAAGAAGAAAACAGGCAAGATCTGCCCCTGGGGGTGGCATAGCACCAGGCCCTGGATTCAGGGCATTGCTCTGACGGGTTCTGGAATTCTGGAGCCCACCTACTCTTCCTATATGGTCTGGGAACCCAGTAATAGTGCCCACCTCAACCTCAATCCTGTTCTGTACAATATCAGGTAGACCCAGATACATCTGCTTTTTCAAGTATGTATACCTGAATGGGTGCTGTAGTGAAATTCCAGAGTTCTGAACACTTTCTAGTGAAGGTCCTAGGCAGAGGATATAAAACATCCCTGGGCTTATACACTTAGGATAAGAGTGAATTTTGTGTCAAATTGATTAGGCGACGGTACCCTGACATATGGTCAACCATTATTTTAGATGTTTCTATGAAGGTATTTTTGTTTTGCTTTGTTTTTTAATTTTTAAAATTTATTCTCATTTGTTATATATGACAGAAGAGTGCATTTCAATTCATAGGACACATATAGAGCACAATTTTCCATGTCTCTGGTTGTCTTCAAACATGTACTTGGGGTAATGATGTCCATCTTTCCTATCCCCATACCCTCTCCCTTCCCATCTCTCACTTTTGCCCTATCTAAAGTCTGTCTATTCCTCTCATGCTCCACCCCCCCATCCCCATTATTAATCAGCATCCTTATATCAGAGAAAACATTTGACATTTGGTTCTTTGGGACAGGCTTACTTCACTTAGCATTATATTCTCCAACTCTATCCATTTATCTGCAAATGCCATGATTTTATTCTCTTTCAATGCTGAGTAATATTCCATTATATATATATATATATATATATATATATATATATATATATATATATATACCACATTTTTTATCTACTCATCTACTGAAGGGCATCTAGGTTGCCTCCACAATATAGCTATTGTGAGTTGAACTGCTATAAATATTGATGTGGCTGTGTCCCTGTAGTATACTGTTTTTAAGTCCCTTGGGTATAAACTGAGGAGTGGGATAGCTGGGTCAAATAGTGGTTCCATTCCCAGTTTTTCAAGGAATCTCCATACTGCTTTCCATATTGAATGCACCAATCTGCGGTCCCACCAGCAGTGTATGAGTGTGCGTTTTCCCCACATCCTCACCAACATTTATTGTTTGTATTCTTAATAGCTGCCATTCTGACTGGAGTAAGATGAGACCTTAAGAGTAATTTTTATTTGCATTTCTCTAATTGCTAGAGATGTTGAACATTTTTTCATATATTTGATGATTGATTGTATATCATCTTCTGAGAAGTGTCTGTTCAGGTCCTTGGCCCATTGATTGATTGGTTTTTTTTTTTTCTTTTTGGTGTTAAGATTTTTGAGTCTGTGCAGGTATTTTCTTGAAGATGAGATTAACATTTAGATCAGTAGATTTTTAATAAAGTTGATAACCCTCCATAATTCACCCAGTAGAAGGTCTTAATAGAAAAAGACTGACTCCCCATAAGAAGAGGGAAATCTGCTAGCAGACCTCTGCATCACCTGAAGCTCTTCCCTACCGACAGCCCAGCTTGCATATTTTGCATTTACACCTCCACCATAGCATGGCCCATTCCTTAAAATAACTTTCTCTCCTCTTTCCCTGGTATATCCTAATTGGTTCTGTTTCTCTGGCACACCCTGACTAGCATACTAGGTGTGCAGAGAAATGGTTTCACTGGCCCTTTACGGTTTATAAGTCCTGATAACAGAAACTCCCCTCCATAGAAGGCCTCCCAGTGCTTCTGCTGTATTTCCTCATGAGAGCTGACGTGCAGGTTAAGTCTGAGGATCTCAACTCTGTCCTATCTGACATCAGGGCCCAGCTCTTAAGGTACCATCCTGTGAAGCATGAGCCAACCTTCAGAGACTCCTACTGGGGATATGCAGGGATATGCAGGATATGCAAGGTTGAAGCCTTGCACTTCACAGTTTACAAATGACAAAATGAGGGAGGCTCATGGGGCTTTCCAGGCAGCTCCTCAGCAGGGCCTTTGTGCTCAGAAGTGGTCTGAACTTGCTTTGGAAAAAAGGACAGGCAGCTCTTAGGTCAGCTACCCCCTCAGCAAGCCTCCTGGGAGTGCATATAAAAGAAGAAATGAGTCTTCTCAGGTACCTGTGCAGTCGGCCTTCAGCAACCTGTGCCAGCTCAGGCCTCCTCGTCAGATTAGGCCCAATCCTGACTTTGTTTAGTCCAAGGTTGTGATGGAGTCCTGAAACAGAATGTGCCAGAAGCCCCTGGGCATGGTGGACCTTAGCAGAAGGTGGAGTATCCTTTCTCTCATATCCATGAGCAGGGTGATGTCCCCACCTCAGTCCTCAGCCCCAACAGCCCTCTGCTTCCCTCCCTCTCTCCCACAGGCCTTATTGAGATGGGTGCAGACCAGGATGTATTTTGTGCATAAACCCCATCACCTGGTACTCATTTCCCCTTCCTCCCCTCCAAGGACTCTTTGGACATCTGGCATGTGTCTTCCTGTACCTGCCTGTTCCCTTTCTGTGTCAATGCTGTCTGGCTCAGGGTTCTGCCCAGAAACAGACCAGCAGACTATGTAGAGAGGCCAACAGATTTTCTTAAAGGATCTGGTTCTCACAGCTATGGGGACTGTGAGTCAGATCTATATGGAAGGCCAGCAGGCAGGGTTGATGCTGAAGTCGTCAGGCAGAATTTCTTCTCCTAAAATTCACAGTTCTGCTCTAGGGCCTTCAGCTAATTGGACAAGTTCCACCTATGCTATCCAGGGCAATCTCTTTAATTTAAAGTCAATTGATGGGACGCATTAGCCACATCTATAAAACACCCTCACAGCCCCCCACTGAGGTGAGTGTTTTGCTGGATAGCAGCATACTGTAGCTTGCCAAGTTGACACACAAAGCCAACTGGGGGAGCTTTATGTCGTTCTAATAGATTTCCAGGGAGAGAGCTATCCTTACCTCCATTTGGCAGAAGAAGAGACAGCACACTTGGCTAAAGCCACAAAACCAATCAAAAAGAGAACTTCAGATTGCCTCACCTCTAACTCTGTTTTGTGCCCCCCACCCCCAATGAATTAGTGACTGGGGGGGGACTTTTATTTTTTTAAGGAGGAAAAATGTTACAGGCTCCAGTTGGATTAGGACATAGAAATGTGAAACCAGCCCTCAGAGGTCACAACACCATCCACGAGCATCACCTCTAGGTCACAGCTGAAGGGGGACCAGGGAGGTAGAATGGTGGTAGAGGAGGTGATGGAAGGAGGTCAGGAGGCTTCAGCCACCATATTACCTGGATGGGGCATGCAGATTCTGACAATGCCCTGGGCATTCCTGGAAACCTTGAGCTGTGCCAGGTCAGTGTTTACTGAGTGCGGATGCATGGGCCAGAGGGTTACTGGCAGGGCGTCAGATTGAGCTCCCAGCCTGACATCTAGCTTGAGTAGCTCAGCTCTGCATGGTACTGATTTCATCATGCTGATGACCTCGTGCGCGTCTGGTCATCAGCTCTCACCCGCCAGCTACTGGGGGGGGGGGGGAGGCACCCCTCTGACCTTGACTCTGAACAAAATGTGCCTTTCTGTCTTTATGGAAATGTCGAAAATCTGCCCTTCTATACATGCTTCTCACAAAACTGCCTTTCCCTGGAGCTCTGGAACCACGTGTTCTGACAGAAAAAGGGCAGCCCAGGGAAGTCGGGAAACTTTCCCGAAGGACGCTGCTCTCCTGGCCTGCTTTGTCCTGCGTTGGCTCCCTGATGACAGCACACAATAGGGATAAAGCACAGAAACATGGACTTGGAAAGCTGAGCCTGGCTGGAAGCTGCTTAGTGAGAACACAGGGAACGCTCAGAAGACCTAGAGGCATCAACCTAAGGAAAAGAATAAATGGAACCTCCCAACTGGACAGGATTTAAAGGGCCACAGGGGCAGAAGAGGCAGAAGGGGCAGGAGGAAGGGCATTCCTGCTCTTGAATGATTTGAGAGGTGACCCGGGTCCCCTAGAGCAGCTGAGCCCAGGTCCTGGGTTTTCAGCAGAGTTACTACAGCATTTTGTACAGTCTGACTCTGTTACTCTTAAAGTAATATTTAAGCCCACCATGCCATACACTCACAAGAAATCAGACTTGAAAAACAAGTGGAAGCAATAGCAGGTGTGTATGAAGCCACAAATTATTAAAGAGAGAAAATCTGATGATGCAAAAGGGGAGATCGCTGCAGTGAAATCCTTGAGTAGGAATCGGGGAACTGGCTGTGAAGCAGAAGGAGAGAGAGAGCTTCCAGAAGAACCAGGAAGTTCATTAAGGAGGGACACCGAGGACAGGAGTGCAGAAGGTGGGAGGGGAAGCGTGCGGGGTCTGCATGGACTCTCTGTGAGGCTTCCCTATGGATTTCTCATTGAAATAGGAAGCTGAGAGTCAGGATGAGGATGGAGGCAGAGTTTTAAAAGACAGAGAGAGCCACGGACTTGGGAAAGCAGGAAGCATGGAGGGCCCATGTGAAGTTCACAGTCAGGAACCTAAGAACAACAGGGTTGTGTGTTTTCTCCAGCGCCACTGCATGCAGGAACAGGGAGGGTGAAAAATGGTTTCTGACCAGTATTAAGGTTTTACCAAGAGGGTGTGATGAAGAGAGCAGTGACCAAGAGCATTAAGAGCACAGGAAGGTGCTTTCTTAAGATTGACCGTGGAATTGAGCATGGACATGAGGGAAGAGAGGGCAAGGGGGAGGTGAG